TAAAATACTATGTCTTTGATGATAATATATTATGTCTTTGTGCTAGAACATTGTGTTCATTGGCGAGCGAGCGCAGCGAGCCATGGTTCACGGCGTGAACCACATAGGATTGCGTAGCAATTCTCGGGGGTTGGCGAGCGTTAGCGAGCAGGGGGCGGAGCCTCCTAGTATTATATGAAAGAAAGAAAAAAAATTGCAGCTATCATTGTGCGCGCTGGGAAAGCACGTGAGTTTCAAAACGGGGCTTGTCATAGTTTATCCGTAAGAGAATATTGCTTATTACCTTGAAATTCTCCTTCACTTTATGCTGCATATTTTTGTTACTATTTTAAATGTTTTCTTAAAATGTTTTTTAATTTATAAGCATTTTTTATACTCTTTTTCATTATTCATAATTTTTTACTTCTTGAATAATAATTTTTTTTATAAGCCTACCCATTGCATAATATATGCAAGCATTTGACATTTTATAAATTCTTTGGAAGAAAATCAATAACAATTATCTGTTTGTAGTGAAATTAAAATTTTAAAAAGCTTTGAATGCTCTCAGTCACATTCAGATTGTTTTAAAAGCATATTTAATGGTTTTGTCTTTAAATATTTTTGATGAAAACTGGTTGAATTCAAATAAAAGAATTGTATACACAAATTTCTTACACTTCTTGGAATCTTTTAGTTTAAAATGCTTTTAAATTATGAATAACCAATGAATTAGCGTCAATCAATCAAAAAATAAAGTACTAAAATTGAGTGTCTTAAGAGCCACTGAAAATTTGTTCCATTTCTAAAATTTATGTTACACTTAGTGCCTTGCACTTGCAAAAGATTTCTGCAGTACTTTTATATTAAACCGTTCTTAAGATTCGAACTATGAAAAAAATAAGCATTTTCAAATTTAAAATTTTGAAATTATATGTCATTTTTGCGTCAAAAGACCACAATTAAAAAATGATAATGAATTTAACAAAGATTTGATTCATCACAACTTTATGAAAGATTTAATTTATCACAACTAATAAAGATTTGATTTATCAGAACTCACTCATCACAACTAATAATTGGATTTATCACAACATTTGAACAACTTTGATTCATCACGACTAACGAACTATAGTTTAAAAAATATTTTCACTTTTTCATAACTGAAAGTTACACGAAATGTGTCTAGTATTCTTTCAAAATTATTGCAGGGATATAAAAAAATTTCTTGCAAGTGTAAAGTAGTATACGATACTTTTTAGCAAATGTTGAAAATGAATTATTATAATTACTGTTTATTTCAAACACTTTTCGTTTTTGTATACTCTTCCTTAAATTTCACTTAAAGAGGAGTATTAAAGATTGAATCTGCCAATCAATGATTCTTCTAGTTTTCTATGTTCTAAAATTCTTAATTTCACAAGTGTATGGTCTTGGTGACGGATAAAACATATGAGGATATAATATTTCGTCAGTAAGAGTATTTTAAAGTTTTAAAAAAATAAAAATAAAAACTTAGAAGTTAACCACTTTTTTTTAATCTTTTAGACAAAGAGATGTTAATATAAGTTGAATACTAAAATAAACTCATTTAATCCTTAAAAACTAAAAGTCTTTCTTTTTCAAAAGAAATGATAAACAGAAAATCATTCTTCATTATAGTTTGCTGATGAGAAAAGTTTTAAGAAAACGCAATTTCAGGATCATGTAGTATCAAAAGTTTAATAAACCCGATTAAAAAATTAGAACTAATATGATATTTTTTTTAAAATTTAACTACTTTGAAGGTACTAAATTAGCTATTAAGAGCATTTTTAATTCTTTCAATGTTTGATACGAATCAAATGCAAATAGTTCAACAAAGGAAGTGCCAATTTGATTTTATTTAAAATTGGCTTAAAGCTGCTCTTCGTCTGGACCTTGCAGTTGGAAAAAGTCTAGAACATATATTATTTTGAACGTAGATTATTCATAGCTTCTTTTTCTTACTTTCAGTACAAAATTACAATTTTTGATGATGAAGAAAGAGAACTTAGTAATGAAGAAATAATGGGAAAAATTAAAAATCTTGGAAAAAAGTAAGAAATTATTTTTTTAAAAAGTATGTAAGTAAAGTCAATATATGTATAAAAATATATAATAAAATGAAGTAAAGTAAAGTACAAGTACAGTTTAATATATTTTGGAGAAAAAAATATATATCATGACTTAGAAAAATTGAAATTTTGTTCATTAACTTGAAATTCTTCCGGTCCAAAAATCTAAACTGACGTTGCCTGTGTTTAAGAATAATGAAATTAATAAGATGAAAAAGAAGTAAAAATAGAGTGGGCAGTCAATAAGAAATTTCATAAACACACTGAGAAAACTAGCATAGTCAAAACTACCAGAATTTGGTAAAATTTATAGTTTTCTTGTTCAATGGAGACACCAAATTGCTCGGTAATTTTTGCCGAAATACTTCGGAAAGGATTTTGGTATCATTATATTAAAATGTGGTTTTATAATATGGGAAAAAATTTGGTAGCTTTCTCATGATCGTGCGTAGGAAAGATTTATTTTAGTTTCGTATGATAATACTTACTAAATGCGTGGTACTAAACTAAATTTGTTGGGGGAAAACTATAGCTTTAAAAACCAGAATTTCCAGTAAACCAATACCATATTAACGGAAAAATTACCAAATAAATGGCTTAAATACCATGCATTTCAGCTTTACTAACCAGATTTTTTTTTTAAATTCCGGTAATGACATACAGTACAGTATACCATACAGTATATACAGTTAAACCATACATTAAGGTAATTTTTCCAGAACTGTTTCCACTGCGTAGAATTTCAGGATAATCTTACATCTATATTCATGTGTCACATGCATATTAGTGCGTAATCACGATGAAAAAGTCTTTAAAATATTGCATTTTGGACACTTTAAAAAAATTTTCAAAGCTAATAATCTTTTTTATTTACAGGATTTTTATCAGTTTTTAATTTTAACTTTTTTAAATCATTGGATGTTTATAAAAAGCCGATTTATTTTGCAGGGCAAATTCTCTTTTTACCTGGTATGCAACAGAAATGACGAAAATTAATGAAGAAAATTTTATTCTCAAAGATCAAAATGCAAAATTGAAAGCTTATGTCCATTCTTTGCAGTAAGTGAACAAAATTTATTGCTTCTCTATCTTTAAGAAATTTCGCTAAAATTTTTGAATATTTTCTAAAAAATATATCAAATTTTGGTTCGGGGGCATTTTGAAAGTCTCATATGAAATAAAATTTTTTTTTTATAGTATTAATTTAGTATATATATTAATTCCTTACATTAAAATTGCAGATATATGTCTTGAAAGCTGTCTTTTTAGAGGTTCAATTAATTATTGTTTTCGAAGAGGCTAAATTACTCTTTTTAAACCTGGAAAAATAGCCTACGAAAATATTACTGTACTTCCCCATATAAAACTTTTGTCAACTAAATCCCAAGAATACGAATCTTGATTTTTGACTTGAACTACAGCAATTCTAGTAATTTTTATTTTATAAAAACTACCCATTTAATTAAAATGTCGCTAATAATGAAAACTTCATTTATACCATTTGTAATGAATATTTTTGGAATTGCTGATATTCAATAGCTTGCCTTATTTTACATTCTTAAAACACATTATAAATATTGATAATTTTGGAATGGGAAATTTAAATTTACATCATAATATTTCAAAAAATATAAATATTTTTGTTTTAATGTATAAAAATTTCCAGAGGTGTCGCAACTAAAGTCAGGTTCATCGTCAACGGTGATTGATTTCATTACACAAAAAATTATTAGTACACGCTATATTGAAAAATCGTAAGGCCCACCTGATGCTGTTTTGGATGTTCAACATTTTCATTTGTTTTATTCATTTCATATTTGTTTGTTTGTTCAACATATTTATTTTATTTTGCTGAGTAAAATCTAAAAAATTTCGAAATTTTAAACTGCGATGGTGTGTGAAAAATGTGCAAAATGAAAAATGAAAATGTGGTAGAAAAATGAAATAAAATAAAAGTTAACATTCTATAGTTTATTCGAAAATTATTAGCTGTTGAAGTTGTAGGACAAAATACCATATGAGTCACTCTATAGTCCATTGGAATGTAATTACAGAATTGAAATTCGGTAAAAAAAATTCGGTATTCGGTTGGAAAAGGCCATATTAGTTTATGAGCCAATCATAATTTTTTTTTTCTAGTTCCATCTTATTTAAAAATTACTGCACATTTTAAGACAAGTTTACATTTTTCTCCCCCTCACGCAAGGAGTACGGCGAGATAAAAAAAAAAAATTAAGATTCGACAATTAGTTTAAATTTGTAGGGAAAAAATACCATGTTTGATAGATCTGTAGCTGACAGAAATGAAAGAGCCATTTTTATTTCTGATCTTAACGTGAATTTTGTTTCAAAATTCTAATTTGTCCGAAAATTATTGCCAATTTAAGTGGTTTTTCCTGATGTTCAGTTTTTTCGCTTTAGATATTGAATACTTATCCATTATAGTAGACAATTTATGTTCTCTTCGAGTGATTTAATTCGTTATTTTATAAGCTCGCTCTCGACTAAATTTCAATAGCAGAGAGAGAGAAGGAAGAAAATTGAGACCGTGTTACCAGATATAAATCTCAGTACTTATTGTGAAAATTTAAAAAAAAAAACTTTAATATATAGTAATAAAAACCGTTCTCTGTTTGAATTTACAAAAGTTTCGTCAACAAGTAAAATTACTTCTCATTCCCTCAATCTGTATTCCTTAGGTTAATTTTTTTCTTACCAAATACAAGTGATTATTATTCAAATCTAGGTAATTGTCTATTTCATTACCATTAATTAATTAATAATATGTTCTTACATAAAGCTACAATTGTGTATTTAGAAAACAAAATATTCTCTGTTTTTTGAAAAATACTGACGAGTAAGGGAAAAATAATGATGAATGAGAAGCAATTACGGGGTAAATGAGCGGAGCGAGCAGGGGTTGAGACTCTTGCCTATAATAAATTTTAATAACTTAATATAAACTTGTCCACCTATCTCTGTGTATTTATGTATTTAAAAAAGGATTCTAATTTAAACAATTGTTAAATTCATTATAAGTTATTTGCTATTCCAACAATCAAATTGAGAGTTTGCAGTATTTTAAATCAAGCTTAATGCATTAATTTTCAAATAAATTTAAAGTCTCCCGGCTTTGAAACTTTTTTCCTGTGGCTCATGATGATCATTCTATGTAGAAATTACTAAACACGATGACAAACTAATGCTGTGCGACTCAATTAAACTTTTCTTCAAAATTAGTTTTACCTAATAATTATTTAACGCAATAAGTGCAAAATTAAATATTCTCAATGTAATATTAAAAATTCAAACTTTATAGCAATTGTAATTTTTACTTCATTTCGTTCTTTATTTTTAAATTTTTATGTTATAATATGTAATGCAATATATATTTCTTATTACTTCAGAAAGAGTAATGAAGAAGATGAATCTGGTGGTCTTTATACTGGGGTAAGAAAAAGAACAATTAAATATCACCTTAAATGTAAAATTAATTATAATTCATTGAAGAAATTATGAAATTGAAACATCCAGTCATTCTTTGATAATCATTCCTTGATCAATACCGCTTGCATGCTAGTACAAACTATCATTATTTACTAAGAGTACTTGTGTACTTATATCAGATGATTTATCTAACTGGAAGTAGTATTTAATGATCATATAATAACATAATATGCCAATTCGAAAACCTTTTTAGTTAATTTTTTAATGTATACCAGCTAGCATGAGAAAAATCAGATTTCTAGCATAGAAAGAAAAACGATCTAAATTTAATTTTTAAGAATAAGAATTTTTGTATAAATCTATTATATTCAATTCTTAGATAATTTTGGAACAACTCTATTCTGTTTTTCAGATAATAAAAATGAAAGTTTTTTTAGAAAAATCATATATTTCACCAATCTTGCAATAACTAAAAGAACTATTTTTACGAGTTGAAACTTTAACGCTTTAAATCGAGATGTCTAAGCTGACGTCACTACAGTTACCTGTCAATTGGAAATCTATCTATCTGTTGAAGATACAACAAATAGGAACACGTTTCCATTGGGATAGAAATCTAAATCATCCAATAAGGCTAGTGCAACCAAAAATTGATTGAATGATGCTAACAAATTCGTCTAGTATCAATCAATCAATTGCATTCAATAGATGCTCTAACTTGGACATCTCTATTTGATAATTATAATCATATTTTTCTCTGCAGTGCAAACTGCCTTCAACCAATGAATGTTTTTTTATTTAAAAGTTTCAAGAAAGTATTTAAAGATGATGTTTTGTGACTGTTTTAATCAATATACTATTTACTTAAACATGAATGTTTTTTTAATAGAAAAAGTTCGACACAACTCTTGTGGTAAAGGTAATAAAGTCTTTAAATTGTAGGAAAAATTGCGGAGATTTTTGTACATGTCAAAGAGAGAGAACCAGGAATTGAACGAAGTTTTGAATCAAGTGAAGGACTATAATTCACAATTGTGGCTACTAAATGCTGAATTAAGAAAAGATCTTGTTACTGGCATCGCAGAAAAGCAGATATTAGCTGCGCAACTTGCTCAAGTTCTAGATGTAAAAAAAATGTTCCATGAAGCTGTTGTATCCGTGTTGGAAAAAGATGAAGATTCTGCAGAGAAGGTTGGTGTAGTGTCTTAAACTTTTGTAGCTTACGAGGAATATAAAAGAAGAAAAATTTTGCGAATACCAGTATTTAAAAGGGACAACGGTTCTTAGGTTTTTGAAAAATCAGTTTTCTATTTATAGGTTATAAGAAAAAATTCTTAATTTAATGGTATGGCCTAAGAGTTTTTACTTCTTATAAAAATACGCAAATTAGCACTCAGAAAAGAAAAAAACAACTATAGTCATTTTTGCAATTACGCAAGTTTGAAGAAAATAAGCTCTTATAAGCCTTTAAAAAAAGTTTTTTAAAAAAGAAAGTTTTTCATGCTCACGAAGAAAGTTACTTTTTCAACGTTTTCACCCAATTTTTTTTAAAGTTTTATAACAGCATGTGAGGTCAACAATAAATGAGGCGAACAAAAATTGTAACCAAACGTTTTTATCACAACATATTACGAACTTATCATGGAACATTTGGTGCTACCTTAATCATAAAGTTTTTTTGAAGATCAGAAATGGACATCCCAATGGGATTTTTCTATAGCGTACAGTATTAAAATTCATCAAGAATGTTCCAAACAAAGTCCATTTCCTACGTTTTTTGCAGCGCAAGAATAGCCTCATTATTCACCAGGCTTAAACCTTATTTCTTCTGTTAGTAGCAAAGATATTAATTATGTTTAGTTTGGGTTTTATTTTATTAAGTACTTTGACAAATCAATCTTAAATGTCAACTGAGTGATAGGTTGTATTAGTCATGAGAACGAACCATTCAAAGAATTTTAGAAGAAAATATTTAACAACTGATAGTAAAAAATAACAAATATTTAATATTTTCAAATTTTGAAGCAAACTTAAAATGCATTTAAGTATTAGTTTTTTGAAGTTAGTAATTAATCGAATGATCGATTTAAATATGTTTAGAAGCGAGTCCGCAAACCTGCGTCCGCATTCATTTGTTTGGCCTTGGTTATTGGTTAATAAAAAAATATGAATCAAAAGTGACAGTTGAAATTTGTAATAAACATATTCATGATTAACATAATATCTCCTACTATTTGTAATAAAGCCGTGGTGGCTCAGGAGATAAAGCTAATGAGGTGACGCATGTTCGAATCCTAGTGATAGCTAATCGAAGAGAATTCCGCACCCGGCTCGCACTGACCACAATGCTGACATAAAATATCTTCAGTCTTTGAAGAATCACGGTTTAGAGTCCCCTTATTGCCAGGCTAACCATGAAAGGTTTTAGCGGTTTTCCTTTCTATATAGCGCAAATGGGGATTAGTTCTATCAAAGAGACCTCTACGAAGACAAATTCTTCCCAATACTTTATTCTGGAGTTAGTTCCCTTATCTTCTGGAATGGTTCAAAATTACAAAGCTACGGAGTCGCACATTGGTAGTGGTAAACTCTAAAATTGGGTCGGCTGTTAAACGACGGTTAGATATGCTATTTAAAAAGCATTACAGCTCCCATTATTTAAATAAAAGTATTTTATTGAAAAGTTCAAAATCTAATAATTTTTTTTTACTGTAAAAACTTTTCTTTTATACTTAGTAATCAAATATGCTTTTGACAATCTGCCGAAATGTTTAGAGAAATTTTAGTCAGCTGACCAGATTAGCTCTTTGTTTATACTCCCTCCTTTTGTTTTCCCTATAACACATCCGTAAACATTCTGTGTTTAATTTTACTAAAATTAAGCTTAAGTTAAAATTATAGGGACTAGATTGAAACCTATTGCGATATTACATCTTAAAAACATGACAAGGCAAGACAATTTTTTATTGTCGAATGACCTGTGCTTTACGACGCTCCACGAGAGAAAAAAGGGCGAGTAAAACTTTAGCTTCAGTTTTCTTTTGAATTGTAAAGAAAGAAATTTTTCGATTATGCATACGTTTCTAATAACGATTTTCTATCAATCATGAAAAATTATTTCATGTAATGTACAATTCAAAAACTTCATTTTATTATACGAAATAATCAAAATGTAATTTAAAACCGTATGTCCCGGGGTATAAGTCAACCCGATGTATATGTTGATCCCTTATTTTTTTATTTACGATGAATTGACCATGTATATTGGAACTCGACCACAGACAAACCCAACAATGAAAATTTTGTAAAATTAAAAAATTTATTAGCTCTACGAAATTTTCTCAAATTAAAAATGTTTTCTTTGTATATGAAACATTTGCCTTCAGATAAAAATACATAACTTTATTGAATCTGACACAGATTTGCTACTGGTGTATAGGTCAATTTCCTGATTCTCGTTAAATTTTGTGGGTTTTAAAAGTTGACTTGGATATAAAGCAATTAAGAATATAGTGTGATTCAACAGTAATTTTCAAAACTTTCTTAGCCATCGAAAGATTCTTGCCGTGATATGCTTCAGAAATGGATTCATGCAATGGAAGATACTTTTGCAGAAACTGGAGAAAGATTGCACCAAACTCTCTCGAAACTTGACCAAATCAGAGATGACGCAACACAGAAAGAGACTGAAATTATGGAGGTCAAGGAGCAATTCGAGGAGCTAGATCATCAGGTAGATTTCAATAAATGCATATATACCTCTGTCTCTCCTTATATATGTACCTATATCCCCACATCCCTATTATATCTGTCTCTCCCTATATATATATATAGGTTTTAATTTTGATAAAAGAATAAACAGAACATGCTATGAAATAACCAATAGTGTTTAAAATTTTCTAACGAAGCTTGCTGATTTCTTTAGATAACAGCTATACAATTATTTTTCGGGCGTGGTGGCATTCTATTTCTTTAATCATTTCATTTTATTGTACCAGTTTATGCCTAACCAAATTATGACTAATTATATTTGATGAATCAGCTAGTGGCGCTTCGCGTCAAATGCCGAGGTTCCACACATTTCCAGCGTTCCAGCGGTGGCAATCTAGTGGCAGTAAATTTGTTTATGGCAATAACATTAATGTTTTGATACAATTTAATACGTTAATCAACAGTATTGTTTCTACGACCCCAAAATTTGTTTTCTTTTCTTCTTTACTTAATAACGCACAAGTAGCGTACTCATGTACTCATAAGTATGTGTACTCATAAGTCAAAGATAGTGGAAGAATAGGTTGAGTCATATTTAAGTGAATATATGTAAAAGTGGCACACTTTTGAACGGGTATCTGTGACAGTGTGGCGTGGATATTTCTGCTCACCTCCATGGCTTAGGCACGCAGATGCCCACCGGGCATCATGAAATGAACAGCACTTCTCGAGTTTTCCGAGGTAAAGAACAAGAATTCAGTGCCTGCCGTTAAACGAAAAAAAAAACGTTTAAGTAAATTTGAAAATATCAACTTTAGAACATGCTGAAATATTGGAAAGGCTTATAAGACACATCTACAATGTGCTCATAAATTTTAAAGACTCAGTGTTTCAAAATGGCGCTTTCCATATCTCCCATTAGCGTCTTTCACTGTATTCTGTTTTGCATAGTTTCTATAGCGGTAAAACGTCATTGCAAAATCAAAATTTTTAGGCTTTTTAAAAAATAACGCTATCAACCGGGTGTTGCTGGGTTGAAAGATTTAGTATGTATTCTAGAATAAAAATAAATAAATTATTAGAAACAAATGCAAGAAGCTGAATATACAGGATGATTAAAATTTAATGAATGGTGTTCGAAAGGTCCTTGGCTTGGCTCTACTGTTCAAATAGTCCACATTTTCTTATTAGATCATGGAGGCCAAGTTAATGTTGTTTAGATCATGGATCTAGCTTCTCACCATTTTGTTAAAAAAGACGTGTTTTTAAGTTGGGACCACACAATACATTAAAGTAATTTTTTAAATTATTCTACATGCTTTGAAATAAAATTAACAGGGCGAAACCAAACTCTCTTCTGGTTCAAAGTGCGAGACAACTCAGAAGAAATCTGAAAGTGGCAGGCATCTTTTCTCCTATAATTTTTTCGATTTAACTCAACACTATATTGGTATTTGTGTTTAATTGTTATTGTTTCTGTTGTACAGTAAACAAAACAAACAACAACAAAAAAACGAAACATTCCGAATATTTTTCTTCTTATCTAATGATCGGATTTTCATGTTCCAGGACTCTCGAGGAAGTGATCGCAAATATACTAATTAATTAGTGCAGACGAAATTTTAAGTTACGAAATCAGACACAAAACGTACTTTCTCTGAATAAACACACATTTTTTAAACAGATTCAGATTTCTGAGCCCCAAAATTTAGGTCAAAATTTATGGGATAGGCGCAATCTGCAAAAAATATAGTCCCCATAGTTTTGTCAAGAGAGTGATCCTCAGTTTGGATCCTTTTATATTTATTTTACTTTTTGCCTAGTTCACCATATCTCGAGAACTTTTTAAATGAATTGAAAAAATTTTGCATAGAATTATAAAATTCATTTATTCAAAGAATTCCATGCAAAAAATGTTTTAGTAAATATTTATTATTTAATTCAATGATAGTTGGAAAAAAAATTGAATTGCAAGGTATATAATTCTCTACATAATTTTAAGGAATGGAGTTTTACATGGTAAAATACAAAGTTTATGTAAAATCCGCCGAAAAGTTCCTGAGGAATCAAATTTTTAAAAAGTCATATGTTTAAGTTCTTTTTTGCGCACTCAACACAGTTTTTTTAATAAACTAGCAATATGCTTTATTGATAGCAATGTAGTGAGTTTCAAAATTATTAAAAACTTTAAATTGATATTTTTTCAATTAGCTTTATTCCTTTTCAGATAGATCTACTTAATCAGACTTTGTATATGAAAAAAGTGAATTCAAGGGAATTAGAAACAACAATTAAGTACATGAGTCAAAGAATACAAATAGACAACAAATATAGTGAGGATCTCAGAAAAATTTATGAAGAATATAAAAAACTCCATCATGTGTATATGGGGCGTCACAGAAACTTAAGTTCAACTACAGATTCCCCTGTTTCATCGGAAGAAATGTCTACAAGCCATCCCAGTACAACTGGTTCAAGTGCTTCAAGCTCAAAAAGTCATTATTCTGGTGTCTCACATCAGGTGCCAGATTTTGACATGGATTTTCCTAGTCAAGCAGATAGGCCTGGATTTGACGATTCCAGAGCCTATAGACCTCAGCAGTCTTCACAGGGTTCCTATCACTCACCAATAATAAAAGGTCCTATACAGCAAAGAGGTGCTTATGGAACTCTTGAATCACCTGTAATTAAACCCCGGTATATTGCTCATGACACACCGGTCCCTACAAGTGAAACCCGTGCATATGGATCTGAAGATTTCAGAACGTATGATCTTCTTGGCAGAGCGAGTCCTTATGCCGAGGAACATTATAAAAAACAAAGAACATCAAGCCGATTTAGGCCAGAAGAAGCGGTTGATGCTGATTTTTCCCCATCACCAATGATAAAGGGTTACGTAGATCCTGGTACACCGAGTTCTGATTTCACCCCATCACCAATAATAAAAGGTTACGTAGATCCTGGTACATCAAGTTCTGATTTTTCCCCATCACCTATAATAAAAGGTTACGTAGATCCTGGTACATCAAGTTCTGATTTTTCCCAATCACCCATAATAAAAGGTTACGTAGATCCTGGTACACCAAGTACTGGTAGTTGGAAAGCTAGACATAGAACAACGGAATCACCTAATACTCTCGTCAAATCTATGCTCCTTAGCAGCCCAGGAAGGAAAAATCCACTGAAGGTTGACGTTGAAGTAGATCCTAAACCTCTCAGAAAAACAGCCAGTGGAGATCATTTCATGTGTGACATTTCTGTTAATATGCAAGACGTAAATAAACGGTTGCCATGGAGAGAAACAACACCTTATCGAAGGAGGAAAATGGCTAAAACTTATCGTTATTCACCACCACCACTTACAGTTGCGAAGTCTAGACGTCCACGTGGTATATATACTCCAAAAACTGCGTTTCGTAGACAAATGATTGGCAGAAGAGATCTTTTTGGAGAAGGATATCAGAGCCCCGAACCTCCGCATGGATCTGGAAGATGGCATGATCCTAATGAATATGATCTACAAGGATGGGAAAGACCAGAACGCAGGTTAGATCAGTCTATACCATGGGAATCACCTATCATCAAACCGAGATACACGCAGTCTCCTCAATCAGGTTCAACATTACGTGGATCCAGCCCTAGAAAACCAGATGCGTTAGATTGGAGCCCATTCAGTTTTGGGAGTCCTGGTGCTACTCCTTATTATCAATCTGATAGGTTATCTGAACCAACAAGAAAAACGAAATTTGTTTCTCCATCTGGAAGACCGATGCGAATTTTCCGACCGGAAACCCCTCGCTCATTACAGTGACTCAATTTTCGTTAAAAAGAATTTTTATTCCATGTAAATGTATAATAATATTGATTAAAATATATTTAATCAGTGCCAATAAAGCTACAATAAGAGAAACAAATCATCACGCAAATTGAAACAAATGTATGAATACATTTAATGCTAATTACTATTGAAATGTTCTCCAAACATCAATTACGACTTTCTAGAAGTTATATTTTTTTTTATTCGTGCTCCCTTGATTCTGCTTAACTATTCATGCATTCTTATATACTTAGCTTTTATAATATGGTACGTAACTGCGTTGCCTTCGTATTGTAGCGTAATATTTTCATGCGTCTTTATTTTTGGTGTTTTAAGAAGAATCGAAACTTTATTTCTCGCAAAAATGAAGAAAAAGAAATAAAGCTTTTAGACCTGATGAAACCTTAAAATAACAATATTAAACCAAATTTAGCACGAACTCATGAAAACCAGACCTACATCATAGTAGAAAGGCTGAAAAATTTTCTACGCAAGTACACTGAGACGGGATAAGTACAGTTAGGAAATATTAACCTTGTATCGTCTTAACTTAGTCGGTTAACAAAACTGTAATAGCAAATATGCAAAATCTGGGAACCTACTTACATCACTTTATAGAAAATGAATTTTTTATATGTAATTTAGGTAACTGTTTTAAGATGTTTTTAAGCAGCCGGTCAGTTTTTCATACTGAAAACCACCTGCTGGACACCCTTAAATGTAAAGGGGATTCTTCTACTAATGCCATTTTACACTCTGAATTCTATATATGTTATTTGAGTATACATTTGAATTAGTCGGTCAGTTGCAAAGTTTCTAAACAGCTCCCGGACAATTTCAATGATTTTAATCTCACTCTTTTACACCTTTAACATCTACTAAATGGAAAATCTATTTTCGCCATTTAATAAAATCTAGATGGGAAACTATTTTAACATGCTATTTTACTCCTTTTTCTCTTAGTGCACAGAATTTATGTCAATAAATAGAACAACAGATAAAGAAATAAAACAGCAGCAAATAAATAGAATAACAGAAGTTATGCGAATAAATAGGTTAAAATAACAATAATAAATCAAAAATAATTGAATAGTAGTAAAATTAGAAGATATAAATAATTGAATACCTGCAAAGGACGTCATCGTAGATCATGGCCCTTATAGTCACATAAATTTTATACTGAATTAAAAATTGAATCTTAGAGGCAAAGAAAAAATCTGAAGTAGACGCTTATTTTTGAAGTTGTCCTTAAGCAAAAAATGTTGAATTTGATTTCACTCGTAGTTAATGATGTAATTATTATGTCTTTTGCAAGTAGGTTAGGTATTATAAAGGCTCCTCTATTAGGAGAACTGAACTGTCCGCCATTATGGAGCAAGCAAGTTCGCTAGTTACGTAGTGTTAACATTAGTTCGAATGTTTGAAGCCCACTTAGATATTTAAAATTATTGGTATGGGTAATTGTACAGCAATGAATTGAACAAACAGTTTTAAAAAAAGGGGCTTTCCAATGATTTGATTTTCATAAGATCTCGAAAGAAAGAAGAAATGTGTAATAAATTGCAGAAGGTATAACTTACTGCCTGGAAGTGGAGTCTTGTGTGCGGTAAATACTCATTTTCTTATAACTTATTGAATTTATTTAATTATATATGCAGTATATAAACGACCTTAAGTTGTAAGAATTTGTTTCCAAATGCTTTTTTTTTTCTTAATTTCGTTTGAAATAAATAAGAGCATAATTTTTCAGGGTTACTTGAATTATACATTTCTAATTATGTATGAAATATATGAATTTTCATTGGAAACTTTAATTATAAAGTAGATATTTATTCAAAATATGACCTTTAAAGAACATGTAATAATTTATTTAATGATTTCGAGTGTCTGTGTGGTATAAAACCACCAAATAAGGCAAGAGATTTGTTGAATAAGAATTCGCCAAACTTATCTCAGAAGTTTTGTATTCACTTTCAAGTGATTGCTTTTGTTTTGTTGAAAATAAAAAAATTACCTGTTTCTTTTTGCAATCCAATTTGATTCACTAATATGTCAGATAATTATAACTATCTGACATATTAGTCGAAAAATCTAGTTTTTTTAATCCCGACTCATTTAAGTTCTTTTAGTTACTTATGCATGGTAATATATCGCTTAAAGTTCAAACGGTTTGTTTTCATTTATAATAAAAAATCTGTTTAATAAGCGATCGTTCATGCGTTTTTGGATCCATAAATGTTTTTTTCTCTTTAAAATAGTGTTAAATTGCTAAAATAATGAGTTTCTCATGTAGAAAAGCTAATGGGAGTATGTTTACCAAATTTAAACTCCAAATTTCTTATTGTGATTCAAGTATGAAAATAAAATAAAAAACTATTTTTGATATTTTTGTAAGGTTATTTTAAAGAATCTCAACTCGAACTTAATAGGAAAGATAACAAAAAATAAGATCTGATGGCATTCCAACAATTTTCACTATTCCAAATCTCTTAAAAACTCCACTAAAAAGACTGAAAGGAATAAGTTGTCCAAAACCAGGATCAATTTTAGATGAGCCTACATCTAACAAATTTCAAATAGTAAGGTATGCAGTTTTTCACATCATTTTAAAGAATATAAAGTCAAATGGCTCCTGAGAAATTGAATTTCTAAATTGAATTTCTAAAATGCAACTTTTTTGAAGTTCGATTTTTCTCCACCATTTCATTGTTTCTTTTTTTCTCAATTTATTATTATTGAAGAATTAAAATTGTGTAAAAACTGTTTCTATCTAGTAATGAGTAATATTTTTATTTTAAATAATAATAATGATAAATTTTTTAATGAATTTTTACAAGTGTAAAAAAAGTTTTCGAAAAAGAATTAAATCGATGCAAGCAAACACTATTTTCTCTACGGATTATCTTAACTGAGGTTTGCTTCATTTTCAGCGATAAGTTGCCAAATCTTGCAGCTCTTCCGAATTGGTGAAAAGCTTTTGATCCGAAAAAGCGGATAAGTCGGCCTCTGTATTTCAGGGGCTCTAGTATTCTTTTAAATCTGATTTAAGTCACAAGGTGAAGCATAATTACTTCTCTTCTTCTCGCGTTGTAAGTACCCAATTATTGAGAACAGTAATGCCCTTTTACTTTAACCAAGCTGTAAGCTAAAGGTCACAAATATGATTTTTTTTTTTCAATATTAAAAATGAATCTGGAACTTAAATGTAGCAATTCGTGAGAAAAAGTTATTTTTTACACATACCGCACTAATGGTTCGAAGTAAAATGGTTAATTGAATTTTGTGATTGATATCTTACATTATTCCTTAAATCTGCTTTTCAATTTCTAGGATATTAACACAAAAGGCTCTGAAAATATAAGGCACACACATATATACAACATACTACTTACACTTAATGGCTAAAAACACTTGTATCTAATATGTAATCCAACTCCGGATACTTGTGCTACTCGAAGCAGATCAATACATTTGAGTAGATAAACATGTTTTCAAAATTTGATATACTTATATAAAGAATTTTACTTTAAAAGGTTGACGGAACTAATTAGATATTTTAATTTCAAAATTTATATGATGAGTAATAAATTTCCCATTAAGCTGCGAAATGTACAATACAATTTAAAGTTAGCATAATCATAATTGGACTTGAAAAATGTAATTGAGAGTTATGTAAACTAAATCTAAAACATTATTGTTTATTTTCAATTACAGTAAACTTGTAGATCAATTAGGCTACGTCAAAATTGTCCAAAATAAAGGAATTTGTGTAATAATTATGTAAGATTATTCTAATATTTTGATGTATGTATACAGTTTTGCTTTATTTGAGTTCATTTTGAGTTATTTTAAGTTAATCAGTAAAAGAGTGTTGTTTTATAAGCAACATTTGTTAACCGTGATTAATTCTATAAATCAGAATAGTTTCAATTAAGTCATATATAAAAATAGATTAAAAAATGCTCTTTTGCGCAGATAATGGATATATTTGTTTTCGTCAGTTTATAGATATGCATCCTTAAACACGATGATTTTCAAATGTGGATATTAGAAATTAGTTATCGATAAAAAATGTCGTTATTTTACACAGCTTTTGAACACATCTGTTTTCGTCAATTTAATGATACACATTGTCAGTCACGATTACTTTTTTTCTAGATAATTTCTATCATAAGTTAATAACAGAAAAAAATTTGCTGCTCAGATTGTGAATTTGTTTCCAATAACGAAAACTTTAATGAAAAACTTTGAGACTTAATGATAACAAACAATTAACTAACACCAACTCAGTTATGCTGTAACCTTTTGTATCACCGCGTTACATATCTGCAACATACATGAAAATTCAATCCTATAATGAGATGGATTTACCTATAAAATCGAACTAAATTCAGGTAAAGAAAATATTGCAAACTCGGGGGAATCAAGTCTTGGTGCAGCTGCCAATATTATAATGCGTTTAGAATTGTTCCACGACATAATTGCAGGATATACAATTTTTTTACAACAATCCCCTTGATTTTATATTTGGCTAAGGAGGGATTGAAAAATGTGGTGTGAGACCTTGTTACCATAAAAACAACAATTTCAAAATTTTTCACATGAAGTTTTAAATATATTGGAATTTTTGTGCTATTTTTCACGATATTGGAGATGTTCAACAAATGCTTTTTATCAATAAATTTTTAATTTTAAGGTCTTAATTTTTTCATTATTTTTTACACGCTTAATATGATGTATTCTAACATCCACGTAAATATTTCTTAAATCAGAGTTGTTGAGTTATAAAGGGTAAAGGTGTTGTAAATCAAAATTGATGTGAGCGCACTCTCAATCAGCTGAAATTTTCTTCATTATATGTATAGTAAGTTTGTGACCAGCTATTGTGTTTTTACATAGTATTAAACTATTTTAATTGCATCATCAATAGAGACCATTGGCATAAAGGGGGATAGAAAAGCATGCCTTTCTCTAATTTGTTTACCAAGTTGGCAAAACATCTCATAAAAGGAAATATCATTAACATAAAATTCAAATAAATCTT